AGGGAGGAACGCTGTCGAACGGGACAAAAAGTATCCTATGTCCTTCTCCTGGCTCTAAGCTACCTCCCTACCAATTTTCACTCAAATCTGTTCTTCCGTTCTTTATTTATAAGTGTTGTAACATAAAACACGTTGTTCTTTTATATATATAGATAAATAAATGTTTGGCTGCACTAAATTTAACTATTTTGTTTGGCGAAAACGAACGAGGGGTAAAGGGGAGGGCAACAGTGATGTGGATATGTATTTATGTTTTTGTCAATTTTAGCCACAGGCAGTTTGTTAATAATTTAACTAACTACTAAAATTGTTAAGCTCTACTAATTTCAAGTACGTATGCGCCAAGAATTGAAAGGAGGGTGCAATATTTCAGCACAAGACAAAGATTTAATTTGTCTCTTCTCAACTTTCAATTTTTCGCACAAATACCTGGGGTTCTGCCTTGGGATCCTTTAATCCCGCTGCCACTTTCCTTTTGCAGTCGATGCAGGTGCACGGCATGAGTGGCGAAGATCCTGCGGTGATGATCCTGAAGACATGAAAGTTTCACGACGCGGTGATTTTTGGTTTTTAATTTCCACTTCACGGAGGCGTCGCGAGCAGCTCTTTAAATTGTAGGTATTTATTTTTTTTGTTTTTGTGTGTAATTACACAGTGTCGCTGTCACTTTGTTTGTTTTTGTTTATTTATTAAATATTTTGCACTATTGTCCACCCGGGGGCGCCAAAATGTATAACGAGATTAGTTTATCTCACACTTCAAATAACAAAACAAAATGGTGGCTGCTTAATATTAAAAAAATGGGCGAAAACGATAAACGAAAACGATAAGAAATGATCTTGCCTCTTCCACGTTATAAATTCGATTATATTTTTCTCTAATCTTAAGCCTAACTTATCTATTGCGGCGAAGCGGGGCGAATTCGCACAAGAGCGAATATGAGCTTTCGCTCCCGCTCCGCCCTAAGCTATCTAAGAGTAAATTTACAGACTAACAACTAACAAATAAAATTCAGCTATAACTATAATTCACAATTTTTCAACTTCCATAAAATACAAATCAATTTACATAAATATTATACTGTCGAATCTGGGAAGGGCAAATTTTTTACTACCCTCGACCTTAAGTCCGGATACCACCAGATAGAGCTTGCGGAATTGGACAGGGAAGAAACTTCTTTTTCGGTTAATAGAGGCAAGTACGAGTTCTGCCGGCTACCCTTCGGACTAAAGAATGTCTCAAGCATTTTTCAAAGGGCAATAGACGATGTCCTCCGGGAGAAAATAGAAAGGATCTGTTACATCTATGTGGATGACGTTATTGTCTTTTTAAAAACTGAAGAATCTCATGTTGACCATATTGCGGATGTTTTAAAGTGCCTGCAGGACGCCAACATGCAAGTGTCCAGGCAAAAGTCACACTCTTTTAAAGAAAGTGTCGACTTCCTCGGTATTGTTGTGACAAAGGAGGGTACTCGGGCAAGCCAAGGTAAAGCCATCAAGGATTTTAAACAGCCAAGTAATATGTTCGAGCTGAGATATTTCTTGGGCTTAGCGAGTTACTATCAATGCTTCATCAAAGATTTCACATCAATAGCGAGACCTTTGACAGAGTTACTAAAGGGTAAAGGTGGCATGGTCAGCAAATACCTTTCAAAAGGCATTTCGGTGAGCTTTGATAAGTCACAGTTAAGCGCATTTGACAAGCTTAGAAATATTCTTGCTTCGGAGGACGTTATCCTCCATTACCCAGATTTTACGCAACCATTTGATCTGACAACTAATGCTTCATCCTTTGGCATAGGTGCAGTCTTGTCTCAGGGAAATAGGCCTATAACGATGATATCCAGAACGTTGAAGGATAGAATTAAATTATCTCACGAATGAAAGGGAATTACTAGCAATTTTATGGCCCTTGGATAGTCCTTGTCACTTTCTCGATGGAAAAAGTGACATAAAAATATTTACGGACCATCAGCCCCTTATGTATTTGCGGTTCGTGATAAGAATCCTAATTCAAAACTCAAGCGCTGGAAGGCCCGCATTGAAGAAAGTGGTGCAAAGCTCATGTATAAGCCAGGAAAGGAAAACTGTGTGGCGGACGTTTTGTCGCGACAAGGTATTCACATTTGCGAAGTTCGGCGGAGTCGGATCGAGCCACTATTCACAGTGAAGAGTCATCAACACTTGTTATTGAGGCCACGGAAAAGCCAGTTAACTGTTTTCAAAACCAAATCATGTTGGAGGAGGCGTCCACGTCAAATAAGCGACTATTTATTGTGTTTGGTACTAAGACTCGCCATCAAATTGATTTTTCTGATTGGGAGACATTGGTGGACTTAGTGAAAGACGTAGTAAAGCCCAACGTTTTGGCTTCCAGTTTTGGCCCGTATTCAAGATAGTCTGGTTCGGCTCTTCCCGGCCACTAGAGTTTGGTACTGTAAGTATTGGATGTCGGACTTTATCAGACCAGACGAGAAAAAAGAAATACTAGTTGCATAACAGGGCATAACAGGGCTCACAGAGTTGCCCAGGAAAATATTAAACAAGTGCTGCTTGATTATTATTTTCAAAAAATGGGAAAAATAGAAACTGAAATCGTTCTAAACTGCAAGATTTGTCAGAAAGCAAAATATAATAGGCACCCATTAAAGCAGGAATTAGGAATTTTGCCAATACCATCGCGGGTGGGAGAGATGTTACACATGAACATCTTCTCAACAGGGGGAAAATACTTTCTCACTGCTGTCGATAAATTCAGAAAGTTTGCGGTGATCCAGCCAATAGCATAGCGCGCCATATTAGATGTGAAAATTCCAATCCTTCAACTGATGAATCTCTTTTCTAATGTTAGATCGATTTATTGTGATAATGAGGCATCGTTTAACTCCGAAACTATACGCTGAAAAATCATTACGATATCGATATAGCAACTGCCTTTAAGGTGCCCACAGTACATCAAATGGACAGGTGGAAAGATTCTACAGTACTCTTATAGAAATTGCTAGGTGTCTAAAATTGGAGAGGAAAATAGACGATGTCACGCAATTATTCCTTCAGGCAACTATATAGTACAATAGGTCATTTCACTCTGTCATTAATAGAAAACCTATTGAGATCATCCATGCTAGCGCTGATTCTGCCCCGGACATTATTATGAACCTTGAAAAGGCACAGCAGGAGCAGTTAAATCGTGACAATACAGCTCGACAGAATAGGGTATTTAACGTAGGGGAGAAAGTTTTAGTAAAAACCAACAAGAGATTGGGAGATAAGCTTATTCCTTTGTATGTCAAGAACAGGGTCGAAGCTGATACTGGGACAACGGTCCTAATTAATGGGAGGGCGGTCCACAAGGACAATATTCAATAAGGGCCACCAAAAAAATATTGTTTCCCAGGCTTAATGTACCCAATTGTGGTAGGTACCCTAAGCTCTGAAAACTTGCAGAGGTAGAGTCTTACCATCGATGTCGAATTGCTGGCTCAGAAGAACGCTCACTCTTTCAAAAGTAAATGTTGTAACTCATTTAAAATTAACACTAATGTCCTTAAGGCGATTCTGAAAGAGGGTTTCACAAAGGCTAACTTGCTGCTTAAGGTGGCTAAGATGAAAATAAGATATTGTTGAATTTTTTAGAATTAATATTTAGTTTGTATAAAAATACTATCTAGTAAGAAATTGTTGAATTTTTTAGAATTAATGTTTAGTTTGTATTAATATTTAGATGAAAATACTAGCTAGTAAGAAATTGTTGAATTTTGTAAAATCAGTATTTAGTTTGTATGGCAGACCATATCTTTTCCGATCGCACATATACCATACGCTAGATATCACACGCTTTCACGTCATAGGCTACGACTTACCATTCACAGCGATTCAAGGATAGCCCATGCAGGCTCGCCACCGCAATGAAGTGCTGTCAGACTCCACTCCCCTTTAAGCCTGTCCTTTTTTCACTAAACGAAAAAAGCCCGCAGCATATAACGGAGCTGCAATTGCTTACAACAAAATGCCAGCTGCAGCAGCGCTTAACTGCTTCGCGTTCTGCGTATCGATAAAGATAAAGATTTATCAGACGGCGAAGCAGAGCCTCGATAGTGGTGACTCAAATCCTCGCTAACATGGATATGGCCGAGGACGTCCATGTTTTGAAAAGGAGAGTGGTTAACAATGAAACGGTGATCTGAGATAAGGAAACAAAGACGGACGACGCATATGGTCTAATGACGGGCGTTGGCCGACGGCTGTGATCTGTGCGAGTTGGGGATACGATTAAGCTCTCCTTCTCTTATGTTAATGAGTTGTGAGCTGACAGCCGAAGAATAAAGGCACCTCTTCCAAGTCTTGTGTTTTATTTCCAATCACCGGTGGAGAAATAACTGGAGCCACGACCGGGCTACCAGCTTACAAGAAGAGGATCAGCAGCATCATCGTCACTGATCGTGGACACCACCTGGTCTTGATCGGTGCCCTGCATCATTACAGGAGTGCAGAGACATCTCTCGGCCGTTGTGGGCAGCAACTTGCCGCATCGGTTTTGTCAGAACCCACAATTCCGTGAGCAGCACGTGCCACGGTGGCTCCTGCAAGAGCTGTTCTAGCGCTACAGAATTTTTTTAATTTTTGGTGGCGGGAGGAAAAAACATTTTGAAACAAAAATGAAGTCTCCATGCTAAATCTTACACCTTTTTTTATAGTTTCTGAGATCCACGCGTTCATACTGACAGACGGACATGGCTGTATCGACATGGCTGTCGATGCTTATAAAGAATATATACCATATAGGGTCGGAGATGATTACTTCTTTATGTTACCTACATTCACACGAATACAATATACCTTTGTACTCTACGAGAACGGGGTATAAAAATATATTACATACTGAGCACAATATCGTTGAGCATTAATTTTTATCTTACTACTGTAGGCTGTAAGCTGAGGAACACCTCTAAGTGTAATGAATGAAAAATGTTGGTGAAAAAATTTGTCAAAACATACCTTGAGAGATTTTTTGTCAGATTTTGTATCAATTTTTCGTCCTTTGCCCATGTAATAAAATTAGAAAAGTGTTTTTCCAAATCTTTTCCAGTGAAATTATGTATATTGGTAGTACTGTTAAAAATATTTTCGTTGGATGTACCGTTGTGTTCAATTTGATTAATATATTTTGGAGATTCGAGAGCTTTAAATATGTTGAATTGTTCCTTTTCAAAGAAGTTGCGAGACACTTGACATTGAAGATCTACCGTGCTTCCTGACTTATAGTATCGGTCCCCAATATTCCGTTCATTTTCATCGATTATTCTAAGGGGTGGCTCTGAAAAATGAATCTACTTTTAATTAACTTGTACACATTTTTAACTGAATAAGATACCCAATATGGTTAAATTTGTAGTAAAAAAACGTGGCGGATGCGTTGAAACCTGACACATATAAATTCCAGCATCATCCCTTTGCGTTGGATTTATCAATAGACGCCAATTGTTTGGGTACTGATACTTCACTTGAATCCTTGGATCTCCACTATAAGTAATGTTTCCAACAGTAAGGAGGGATACCTTTTCGGCTGTGCGTCTTATCCACATGACCTAAAATATATTTTAATAAAACTATAAAATTTTAAAAATAAAAGAGATTTAGGCTTCCAGCGTTTTGAAGGCTGGTAGATTTTAAAGCGCACATAATTTGGTACAATCAGTAATTAAATCGCCGCAATGAGCTTTTTAGAAGTACTTCTGTCCATGGCATTAAATAGCTACAGAGGTCGCACACAAAAAAATAAGCGACGACTCTTTTTCTATGAAGGATTTTTAACGTAACTGACCTTTTAAAATATATTTACTAACCTCTTAATTACAAACCAAATTTTTTGCATGTTTCTTTTGTTTCTTTTTTGTAACACAAAAACAATCCAATAATGCTCATCAATAATTTATTGTTCAATAAGTTCAGTGTGTTCAATGTTCCTAATTTCAATAAGGAAAAGTTTTTCTTCAGTCTGCATCTAGCTTTCTATTTTCCTCATGTCGCCTCTCGTTTTCACCGAGTGCAGTGTCTGCACTGTTACTGCTACCCAACTTTGTGGGTGTGAAGCCGTTCGGTGGGCGTCGATTTGCCGACGTGCCTACCACACCACCTGTGGGGATTTGCCTCGGAGGCTATAAAATTACTTATATGCTTACCAGCACTGGGAGCAAAAAGGATACACTGGGCCAGGCTCCAATGGCATCTAAGGGGGCTGTCCCGAGAAAGAAGCGGATAGGCGCATTGTGGGACAAGCACCCAGTTGCGCTCAGCTTCAAGTGCTTCTAACCTTAAAATACCTTCATGTTGGTAAATTCGCGATGTATACCCAACCAGATGCACTGTGCAAGTTTGTCGCAGATAAGCTGATCATGGAGCCGAGTGATTTAGCCTGTGCTAGGCTGGTCAAAAAGATGGTGACATCAAGTTTGCCTTCGAGTTCGTTAACTTTAAACTGAGAGTTCCGGAGTAACATTTCCCTATAGTCTTCAATGATAACTTTAGGCCTATGTCGGTAAAAGTCAGCCGGTTTGTGCATAGAGAGCCTGCTTATGTTATTGACCCCCCGGCGATTCTTCTTTTAACACAAATGCGATTTTCGAAAAACCCTCAGTATGCGTCGCCGATGGCGTCGTTACTTCTTTCTCTTCACAAGCTTCTACTTATCACCCCGATTGCTCTCTGCTATGCTACCTACAACAAACGGCGCGGGAGTTAATGGTAACGGTTGACGTTTTCTTCAATTCCTACTATACTTTGCTTCATTTGCTGATCGATATGGTCCAACAACAACAACTATTTTCAAGGTGAGTTGTTTACATCTTATCTTCCATCGTCATGTTGTTGCTGAACATCCAAAAATGAAGTGACAACTCACCTTAAAAATAGTTCTTGCTTTCTTCGCGCAGAATAAAGGTGTTTATTTACATTTTGGACATGAGAGTAGAGTATTGCGGCGTTGGATGTGCCTGAAAATGAACGCTCTGCGTTTTCACTTGGCACTGGATTTGCCTTGCAACTGGACAATTGCAGGTCTACTATTGAGTCTAATGGAAAGATCTATGTGTCCTCGTCGCCTATTTTGCAAGCTTTGCGTATTGGACATGCCTCCACATGCACCAGTACCAGGAGCGCACTTTCATCATTACCGCCTTGCCGTCCAATTCCCAGTTTGGACTGTAGCTACTTGTCGTCCTCAGACCCTAATAAAAGCCTAAAAGTTCTATTCCAAAATATATCGGGAATGAGAACCAAGACCCGGATGGTATTCCTCAATTCTTCTGTCTGCGATTTTGATGTAATCATCCTTGTGGAAAGGTGGCTCAATGACAAATTCAGCTCCTCTGAGTTCTTCGAGCCTAACTTGTACCTTGTATTTCGAAAGGACGGAGATGCATTCAGTACCCAGTGTGGGCGAGGTGGTGGTGTGATCATCGCTATCCGTCGATCTTTTCAGGCTACACCACTGCGCCTTCCGGTGGCTGACCCTCTACTAGATCAGCTTGCGGTTTCAATCCGTCCATGGCCCATTCGTCATCATTGAATCATACATCCCTCCGAACAGCGCATTTAGTATATATCATGCGCATATGGAAAACATCACTAGTGTCTGTGCTAGAACGTCGGACCTTACTGATTTGATGGTAGCTGGCGATTTCAACTTAAGCTCCATTGTCTGGACTCGGGATCCGGAGTCTCCATGCATTCTACCTAGCAACGTTCATCAAAGCCATGAAATTGTAGTTTTAGATGATATTTTTAGTCTGGGCTTCTCCCAAGTAAACAATATTTTTATTGATTTATCCAAAATTCTTGATTTTAACTTTTTTAATAACGTGGTTAATAGTAAAATATAATTATGCAATGTACCTTTAATTCCTTATGAGTTTTATAGTTTTTTGCCTTCTGCTTCACCCTTTCTATATTATAATCTGAATAATACTAACTTGTCACTTATTAGTGCCTCTATTTCAGCTTTTGATTGGGTTTCCCTTTTTTCAGATGGCTCAATCGATGATTACTATACCAAGTTTTTTGTTGCCCTTTCTAATATTAGTGATATTAATGCCCTTTTGAGGGTACGAAGATCCTATAGGCAACTGAAATCTTTATCTTTCATGCAACGAGAAAATTTAACATATTTAGGGTATTTTTTTTTTTTTTTTTTTTTTTGTAATAGCAGGGTAATGTTTATTTAAAACTGTCCATTAGGGACAACCATTAAATTTTATCACGTAAACTTCACGTATAGATATTTTTAAATATTAATATGGTAGAAAAAAAAATTAGAGTAGTAAGGGGAGGTCCAGCGGGTGTGTCCTTTTAAGTCTCCTGGGTTGCTCGCTGCTGTCCAGCAGGGAGCTGGCCAACCGGTTCGGGTGATTATGAAGCCTCTGCATGTAACGTGCGCTGCTTCTTTGTATCTCGTCCTTGACCCAAGGGAAATTGAGAACCTCGTGGATGGTGCGATTGTCATGATAGACGTGGGCCCCAGTGGCGATTCGAAGGGCTCTATTTTCGAAAGCTTGCATAGTTCGGACATTCGTCTTGCTCGCAGTTCCCCAGAGCTGTATGCCGTACGTCCAGATAGGGCGTATTATTGCCTTGTAGATGAGGAGTTTAGTGGAAGTTCTCAGCTTCGATCTCCTACCCATAAGCCAGTAGAAGGATCGAAGTCTTTGAATAGCCTGTTTCCTCTTCTTAATCTGACAGTGTGAACGCTCTAAAGTTTTTTTTTTAAAGCTCTCTTATTTGTTCTCATGTTCTCTTAACGTTGCACACACCCTTTATTTCTTTGCATAAATTTGGTATAAATCAGAACGTCCGGGATTGCCCGACTATATCCTATAGCTGCCATATAACTGATTGATCGGAAATGCTATAACTTTGGTGTTTTTAGAGTTAGAGAGTTCGGATTTTGTACAAAGTTACAGCATTACTGATCAATCAGTTATTGATCAATCAGCTATAGTTATATGGCAGCTATAGGATATAGTCGGCCGATCCCGCTCGTTCCGACTTATATATTGCGGGCAAAGGAAAAGAGGGTGTGTGCAAAGTTTCAAAACGATAGCTTTAAAACAGAGAGACTAGTTTAGACAGACGGAAGTGCTTATATCAACTCAGGAGGTGATCCTGATGAAGAATGTGAAGATATGTGTCCTTCACTTCGTCGCACACTTTTGACCGAAATTATAATACCTACCCTATGCAAGGGTATAAAAATGGTAATATCTTTTTAGAATTTAAATCGTATTCTTCTAAAGCTTGAACTATCAAGAACCTTTCACCACTAAAGATATTGTAGTTAAAATCAAACAAGAAAGGAAAGCTAACTTCGGGCGGAGCCAACATCGGATATAGTTGACCGATCTTTATGAGAATATGAATATATAACCCAATTTATTATAGTACAAAATCTAAAAAAAAGTCCCAAACTTCTATCTTTAAAAATACCAAAGTTGGTATATATACCAAAAACCATTTCCGATCGTCTGACCAAAAATATAATCTGTACTAAGTTCCAGCTTTCTATTCTCAAAAACACGAAAGTTGGGTCATTTCCGATCGTTCAGTTATATGGCAGCTATAGAATATAGTCGGCCAATCCCTACGAATTTTGCATGTCGTGTTATTTTTCCAAAAAAAGCTCTCATGTAAAATTTGACTCTAACTCTAAAAACACCGAAGTTATTCCATTTCCGATCAATCAAATATATATGGCAGTTATAGGATATAGTCGGCCGATCCCAGTCGTTCCGACTTATATACTGCGTGCAAAGGAAAGAAGGGTGTGTGCAAAGTTTCAAGTCGCTAGCTTTAAAACTGAGAGACTAGTTCGCGTAGAAACAGACAGACAGACGGACGGACGGACATGCTCATATCAACTCAGGAGGTGATCCTGATCAAGAATATATATACTTTATAGGGTCGCAGATGTCTCCTTCACTGCTTTGCACACTTTTGGACAAAATTATAATACCCTCTGCAAAGGTATAAAAAGAGGTTTACATAAAAAAATTTCGATTATCTTGGGATGTAGGTATGTCAGACGTTGCAATCGATTTGACCTTTTCCCATACCTTAACAGAAAAATTAAGTGAATTTTCAGCCAAAACAGAAAGAAAAACTCTGGAAACAAAAACATTGATTTCGACTTTGGCAATAAGGAAAAGTTAAATTTAATTTAATCAATAACCCTATGACTTTTGTTAGATTAGATTTGGGCAACAACTACATGGTGCTTGCTGCCACAGCGTATAGCGTGCAACGAATCTAAAAACATTATCGATGAATTAATATTTATTGAAATAAAGACAATCATTTCATCTAGCGTCTCTTTAGTCGATGCTTCTGAGCCTTTGCAAGATCGCTGCAGCACAGGATTCTACAGCGTCCCAGAGCATCTGATTTTACAACATGACACTCAGGTACAACCCGGGGACATTCAAGAGCTACGTGCTTGAAATTCTCGAGTATACGTCTAGCGTCCTTTCGTCGAGGTTCCCCACCGACGTGTCTCGCAGTAGAAATCGTCATGTCTTCTACTATTCTCCCTCTGGCC